GTAGCATTTAAGGTTTAAAGGGACTTTATTTTAGCCAATCAACACTGTAGTAAATATAACAATGTTAGCCTTAAATTTTATGAATTTATGTACCTATCTTAACTTTAATAGATTGCTTTTCAGAATAATGAATGTTATATCTCAGCTAAAGGGCAATAGGACCCTAAACTGTTCTTAGAAAAAAAGATGACTGTAATCTCTCAGCCCAGTTCATGTGCTGATGTCATCCCACTGCTTGCTTCTAATGTATAAAATAAACCTCTGCTGAAGGAACAGCAGGAAGACTTGCACCCAACTCCGACTTCCATATCTTCCTAGCCTCCCTTTCCCCTTTTTCTCCTCCCTTTTTTAGGAATCTCTTCTAGCCAATGCCTTCCCACCTTAGGGTCCTGCCTGTCTTGCCTCCAGACACCTCAATAGTTGTAACTGGTCTCCAACACAGTGCCATCCAGGAATATGAGCAAGGAATTGGGAAGTAATTTGTGGCTTAACCACATAGTGATCTGTCTGTAAGTCCCCTGGAGAGAAGGCAGCAGTGAGGGCACATCTGTGTAAACAATAGTTGATCTGGCTGATTTCTTCAAAACTGAGGATGAAGTGGGTGTTTTTGTTTTCTTCCTTTCACTCAGAGAGATATTTCCTGTTGCCTTTTGTGAATACCAGAAATGAGTCCTAATTATGCTATGAGGCTGTGGACACTGAAGTAGGCAGTGGTTCATCTGTATTAGAAGGGTGTATGTGAAATACGTTAGAATAGAGAAAGGTAGAAGACATCAGAATAAACACGGTAGATCAAGAATTAAGTCCAAAGCAAAACAATGTTGCCTAGTGACTAAAATTCACAAACAGAGCAAAACAATATTTCTAAGTTTCCATACATGATATAGGAATATAAGTAATGTGTAGATTGTTTATAAATGTTGTAAAGTGTTTTGTACTGGTCTGACATTAGATATTTTGGGAATTAAGCCTGAAAGTATAAAACTGCATATACATTCTCTTTTGAAATAAGTAGCATTTAAAGCAAGGCAACTAAAAGGTAGTTTCACTCGAGGCAAAATCACAAAGCAATTTTACCTCTAAGAATATCATGTATCTGGAATTTTTCTTTCAAGATATAATTCCATAAAGAGAACATATAGCTGATGTAGAAACACACCATAAGAAGACCTAGAACTTAATATAATCACCTTATACAAATTATTAGACCACATAAAGTATGTTTTTAAGATTCTGCTCTCAAAACTACAAATTCACTTTCTATTTCTTGTTATTATTCATTTCAAAAATAATTACTTTCATCTTCACACTAATCTCTTAGACATTCACCAAAAAATAAACTTTATAGCATTATATGCTTACTAAAAGGAGAACTCAAACATTATGTGAAAAGTAACGTCTAATATGTTGTGTGGTAATTTTATTACTAGTCATTTCCGGTTATTCAAAAATATATGTCACAAAAGTGGGAAAATTTCCTCATCATTGCATCATGATCACATTTTAAATATGATCAGTTTCAAGTCTAGTTCCACTTATGGAAACTATTTGCTCTGCTTTGTATTCATGGAATTCAAAGAACAAATATTCTGACAAATATTCCAAAAATACAGGTTTGTCAAGGAACCAAAAAGATAAAATGGCAGAGATTATGGGAAAGCTGAAATAATAATTGCTTGTAAGAGATCTGAGACTCTCTGTTGTCACTGAATGAACTATGGAGGACAAACATGATTTAATGCCTTTTTGTTTGAAATATTTCATGTTTTTTCTTTCTCCAGAAAATTTTTGTTGAGATGGGCTGTGACCTGCAAGCAACAGTAAATGGTACCTTTTTGTGAGTAGAATTGAAACATTTGAGAGCTCTCTGGTTCACTTGCTAGTGCTCTCTTGCTCTCACTTTCTCTCTCTCTCGCTTTCTCTCTCTCTCTCACGGAGACCTCAAATCAGAACTTTTTGTAACTATTCATATTTCTCATGACAATGTTATTATTTATGTAACAAGACTTTATTTTTCCTCTATAACACACTATTGCAAACATGGTTGCATTAATGAGATTTTTTATTACCAAGATTTTGGCCAAAATGTCATATTTGAAACCAACCTGCTTTTAGTAATCTAGATTTTAATAATCTAGATTTAAATAATCTAGATTTACCTCAGAACCTTCAAAGAAAAGACAGTCTGATACCTTGCTTTCTGTATCCAGATATATCTGGAAAAGCATAAAGAAGTTTTACCTCTTGGCAGACTCAAAAACCCACTTTTGGACCTCGAGAGAGAAATTTACCCACATACACAGTTTCACAAGTGCAATCTGGGATGGAGAGATTTTGACATGTCCCCAATCCCTTAAGTGTTCAATATTAGATTCCTTTACAAGAAGTTATAGTAAAACATATTTAAGTAAACCTATACAGCTATAGTGTTATTATATTTGTATTGTGCTTATGTACAAAAGAGAGAGAGAGAGAGTGAGAGAGAGAAAGAGAGATGACCAGATTCACTGAAACCAGATTTAATTTGCAGTCAAGCTTTAAAATAATTATTTGGTAGGATCAGGTTTGGTGGAGAAATAAACATGTATCAGTAACACATTGATAAGGACATTAGATTCTAGTCCTCTTAAGGATCATTTCTTAGGTTTCTGCTTATTTACCTGTGAACTGAGCTGGATCCTGACATTTTCTAAGACCAGGCTATATCTTTATAAATTAATATTTAAAGTTTTATTCCCAATCTGTTTGTCTTGCATTGATTGACAACTAAAATGGTCTTTTTGTAAAAGGAGAACTTTGTAAATGCTTTGGAGAGATTGCCAATCTGTTAGTGGTTAAACGTGCCTGTTACTGTTTTCCTGAATATTTGATGACAGGAAATAAACAGAGGAAACCACAGCCTGCCCATACCTCATCTGAAGATGCTCCAACTCCCAACAAATATAAATATTTTCAATGGACTTCCCTCCCTACTCCCAACTGGACTTGTGCTTTAATTCAATCTTTAACCTTCTATTCCTTTTGTTTTTATAGAAATTTCTTATGCAAAATAGGATTAACTTTGGATTAAACTTTAAGAAGATTTCCAATAACTGTTCAATTGATCTGTTCTCATGACTGAGGGATTGGTTTTATGAAATAACTGAACAACTCAACTTCTGAGTTGTGGAACTTCTTGAGAATTCCCAAAGATGCGCTGCAGGAGAGCAGAAATCTGCCACCTCAGAACATGTCTTTGGGAATATGTTTATTTAATGAGATTTGCTCTGAGGGCTAGATTGAAATTGTTTTTGATGTTTATATCTAAACATCTCTGTGTGAGTCAGAGCAAAGATGGCGACTTAAGAAGACCCCCACCTCACCCACTCCCACAGGCACACTGAGTACAGCTACCTATGAAAAAGCTTTCGCCAGAAAATAAAGAAGGGGGAACAATAAATAAACATATCTTTATAAAGTTTTTCTTAATGGAAAAGACAGAAGTAACAAACTTTGTTTATCCACTAACCTCACTTGTCTTAGATAAGCTATTAAGATGTCCTCTAAAACCAGAGGGGAGAGCTGCTCAGTTATTCTGGGTCTCTCCATGTACACAGGATGTTTACCTGTTATGATTAAACTTTTCAATGGATTTTTTCTCTTTTAAAAATCTGACAAATGAATAAGCAAACAGATCCAAAATCTTATTCAATTATGAGAACAAAATGGTGGTCACCAGAAAAAGGGTTATAGGACTGACAAGGTAGATGAAGTTAATTGTATGGTGGTGGCTGAATGGACTTTTGGTGGAGATCCCAATGTAGCATATACAGATATGAAATAGTAATGCTGTATACCTGAAGCTTATATGTTAGAAAATCATGTTATTTCTATATATGTATTTTTTAAATTATAAGCTACAAATCTAAGGCAGCACCAGTCTGAAGTTGGGCTTAATTTTAACACTATTTTTTTATTCTATCCATACATTCCTGTTAGGGACATTTATAACTAATTTTCTTCAGAGGCCCGTTATTATTCTTTCATTCATTCAATAGCTACTGAACTCCCATCACATATGATGTACTGGGTTAGCTACATAAAATACAATGATGAGTAACTCATATTATTAGAGACACTATTAATTTTCTTCTTCAAAACTATTTCAAAGGTCATTGATATCTCCCAAGTTTTCCAGGGTTTGTGTTGGTTCACAGAACTTAAATCTCTTACATATTTGGTTATCTTATATTGAATGAATATAGTGCACTTTATATTCTTGGAACTGACTTAAAATGTTTCAAACTTAATTATAATATTACCTTTAATCAGAGAGACAAATCTCTACACTGAAGTTTACATAGTGAAACATTATTTTAAAATATAACTACTTCCTTAATGGGAACTATTTGGAAATTAAGTAAATTACCTCAATAGATAACTATACATTTCAGTGAAGCATTTTATAGATGAAAAAATTTTTGAAATATGATTATGGATACTAATAAATATTTGAAAAATCAAAAGTTTATGAACATAATTTTTAAAATACTGCAGTTGGAATGCTTTCTTCATTTATATATTATATTCTTAGAATAAGTAATGATTGGAATAGCTACAATATATTGACAGAAACTTTCCATTACTAAAATAAGTTCTATTTTATTTAGTGACTATTTAACTTGAATAAATTAATTTGCTAATTAGTTCCCAAGTGAGAATAAACCATACATTTACATTAACATTAGAGATAAGAGATTTATTATATTCAAATACATTTATATTGCCTTTAAAGTAGAATTTTAATGACTAAAACTTTTTAAATCATTTGAGAACATATTAGTAAAATTATAATTTAAGTAAAAACTAGAAATGGTGAGGTGAACTCTACAAAGGAGTAAACTAATTAGCAACATACACCAGTCTTATACAGAATGCTTATAATGCACCACAGCCAATTTTATCAGTCATAAATGAAAACAAAGAATGTAACTATTGAAATGTTTAAATGCTGCACTTACCAACCTCCACAACACTAGAGCAGTTGGGATCTGTGAAGCCATCTGGACACTCACAGGAATAGGAATCACCATTCAGATGTGACAAGCACAAACCTCCATTTTCACAAGGATTGGGATCACAAATATCACCTAAAGAATAAAAGAAACAAATATTGATTCATTTTATTTTCGTCTTAGGCACTGTGATGTACTATTTCACATACCCACTGATTTTCCTTTGTTTAAGTTACCCTACTAGGTGGATAAAGTATGCAAGGTACCTACCATAAGCTTTTAAGAAAAATGTAAGTAAAATGACAAAAATTAAACTTTGTAATTTAAGCATTGCTGACCAAATCACATAATGAAAGCTATTGACTTACTTTGGAGTTTCTTCATTACATGTAAATGAAATAGTTTAACTAATTAAGAAGATTAACACAAATAGCTGCTCTAGACTGATTTCCTTATTTATTCCAGTAAATAACTTTTCTATATCCACACACTATGCTCTGTAACTAGAATTCTTTTCACTAAAGGGGTGGGGATTACTTCTATATCCCTAGACTCTGAGCTTGACCATAAAACTCACTTTGACCTATAGATTGCCAACAGACTTAAGGCCAGCAGAGATTTTTCTAAAGCATTTCAACACTTCTACTTCCTCTCTTGGAACCCTGCCATGGCCATAATTTCAACACAGCATGTTTGAGAGAGATGTGGAAAACATGAAAAGATAGGAGAAAAACTGTTATAGTAAATAAGTTGTACTATACGAGGACTGTAAATGTGACCTTGGCTTTGGTACTGGATGGTAGATGGAATCTGGAAAGGCGCTGAAAGGATAGTCACAGGAGACTAGAAAAGTGGCCACCCATGTTACTGTGCAGCAAACAGCGGTTGGCAAGGTTCTCACCTGTGTAAGTGGGGTGATAGAAAATGTACCTAATGAACTTTAATAAGGTGAGTCATGAGATTTCCAGAGAAAAATGTTAAAATATAATTTGGTTTTTAATAACTGCACGTGATAAGATACTACTGAATGTTATAAGAAAAAAAACTGCTAAAGAGCTGATCAGTTTGAAAGTCGGGAAGATAGAGAAACAGGTATTTGTGATAGCAAACTAGCAAACTTTTTCTCCACAGCCTCTCAAATTAGCAAAATATAAAATTTAAAGCTTGTTAGAAAGACATGATTTTAACAAAAATAATCAAATCAATAATGTGACTAGAAGACCATTTATTGTATCCTATGTCTTTTAACAGTATCTTATTAGTTTGCAATATATGTCTTTCTCAATTTGGACTCTTTCTCTTACCTAATTGTTTGAACAAGGACTTCTAATATTATGCTGGCTAGAAGTGGTATAAACAGAAATGTAAGTTATGTCCCTTATCTGAGAAGAAAAATAAAATCAATTTCTCACCATTGAGTATGAGGTTAGCTATGGATTTTTTATATATCGTTCATATTATGTCATTTTCTTGTATCCCCTTTTATCGAAAATTTGTTATCATCAATGGATACTGGTCTTATCAAATGCTTTCTCTGCATCTATTGATATGATTATACAGTTTTTAATCTACCTTTTCATTGATGTGGGGAATTATAGATTGTTAAGAGGCTTATTATCAGGGAAATGCAAATCAAAACAACACTAATATACCAGCTCACATATCAAAATACCAGAAATAACAAAGATTTGGTGAAGATATAGAGACAAAGGAATCCTCAAACATCACTGGCAGGAATGCAGATTGGTCCAGTACTATAGAGGTATGGTGGTCTCTCAAAATATTAAAAATTAATACACCATAAACTAACAATTCCAATTCTAATTATCTATCCCAAGAAAACAAAACAAGAAACAAACAACGAAAATGATTTTAGGGATATGCAGTCTTATGTTCACTGAAACACTATTTACAATAATCAAGTTACAAAAACAACCTAAGTAACCACTGAAGGAAGAGAAGATTAAATTAGGTATGTATCTGTATATCTATATCTAATACTACTCAGCTATTAAAATAAAAATGAACTCTTGTCATTTACAATAATACAGATGGAACTGGAGAGGATTATGTCAATATAAATAAGCCTGAAGTAGATACATATTGGATGATTTCATTAATGTAGTATATAATGAAATAAAGGCAAAACAAATATAAACAAACCCAAGAAATCTGACTGAAGAACTGAGGTTACTAAAAGGTGAGGGGGTAAGTCAAGAACAAACTTTAAAGGTAGTCCATGGACTGCAGCCGAGGTCTATGGGTGCTTTAACGGGAAGTTGTGGTGGTGTGGAAACATATCTGAGGGGTTTGAACCTGTATCTTTGGGTCACGTACGGCGCTGTAAACCAGTTTTACCTCTATAAAAATAAATGTCAAAATAAACCTTGAAAAAAAAATATAGACTCAAGATTTCTAAAATAGGTGTGAAGCTTAGGTGAGGAAGTGCATTCCCAACATTTTTAGCAGAGTGGGAGGGGGCAACATTACAAAGAGAAAAGATCATGGCTTATTCCAGGGCTTCAAGCAGATCACCATCGCGTGTGTGCGTGACTATTACAGAAAAATGATGTCAGAATGGCAGCACAAGCATACAGGACTTGTAGGCCCTGCCAGATAATTTTTGAAGTTTATCTTTGAGCATTGGAAGATCATAAAATGACTTTAAAGAGGGAACTATATGACTATATTTATGTTTTGGAATGATGACTCTGGCAGTATTACATTAGATCAAATGGAAGATTCTAGGTTGAGAACAAAAGGACTAATCATTAACCTTTTGAAGTAGTTGCAGGAAAAAAAAAAAGGAAAAAAATACATGATCAGGATGTTCTTAACCCTTCTATGAGAGTGTTATGGGCAGGAAAATTATTAGAGACCCCATTTAAATTCAATCCAGTTAATAAATACCAGTTAATAAAACAGGAAACAGAAGTGCTCCCAAATCACTTCCAAACCCCCAGCCCCATCATTCTTGCCTTCAAAAGTAAAAACATTATTACTGAGATTCTCTAGAAGGCATCAATCACTAGACTGTCTTGGTTGTGAGCAAAGCAGCACAGTTGTTTACAGTCACATTAACAACACTGTCATATACTAACTGCATACATTGCATGAATATATTAACACACACTTATTTAATGAGATGTCAGTTGTAAATCTGCATATTTTCAATACTATGTTAAAAAGGCATTCTACCTTCTTCAGGCTTTGTTGTTGCAGAAATGTCACTATTATTAAGGCAGACTGTAGACGTTTGTATTTATTTATACTGCAAAAATAATATCACCAGGAGAAAAGCAGGCATGAGTAATAACATGCAGGTTTTCAAGTATAAACTTATAATGATCCCAAATCAGTAAATTCTCAACCTGATTCCTCCCATTCCTACAGCCAAACTCCTGGACAGTTTCCCGATCTGGGTTTACTGTCTTTATATGCCCAGGGGCATATAAAACCCAAATTTCTGACCCTTTTGATAATCCCATCATTTTAGAGGGTTTTTGATATGACAGGGAGTCAATCTTGGTACCTGGTGTGCCCTTTCGAGGAACAATATTTAAACGAATCATCATTCTAGCAGGTGTGCCAGTCACATGCTGTTTCTGCGGATTAAATGAGGCAGGATGATGTGTTTGCCTCCGATTATATCTGAGACCCCAGCTGCTGTTCAGCGGACCTGCTTCTTTTCTTTCTTTGTCCTTGCCCTTTTTTGTCCTTTTTTGCTTATATCTTATTTCTAATATATAATAAACTTGTGAAAAATCAGTTCTAATTTTATCCCCATTATTGCTATATATGCAGTATTTTTTGGAAAAGTAAAAATTAGGTAATAAAATGAAAAAATATGTACAAGGTAGGATCAAGATGATACTAGTACTAAACTGATGTGACAGTGCAGAGAGAAGAAATCTGGGTCATTTTCTAGAGTTCCTTGTTTCTATGATTTCAGTGGCGAGGTTTCATAAGGAAAGAAAGTGTGTTTTATTTTAAAGGAATTAATATGTTTGAGAAGCCTGTGGGACACGCAAAATGAAAATGTTCCATAAAACTACTGAATAAGCAGATATGGAATTAAAAGGGCTTTGCTTCAATACAGATTATTAAATCTAGCTGTGAAAACAATGCTTCAGCAAGAACATTTAAAGAGTAGCAGAAGGAGGTTGAGAGCAGGGGGATAGAGAGGAGAGAGCTGATCTTGAGGATATCAACAAATAAGTGAGAAAAAGAAGGAAGATTCTTTACAAGACAAAGTAAAAGGAAATGAATGCCAGTTCCTTCCGCTCTGGCTTAACTCATTTATTTTACATGGGTTTAGCATGTTAAGGTCTACCTGAGATTAAAACAAACAAACAAAAAAACACCTTAGATGAACACTATCAGCAGAAAACATAGCTTTGGGGACCACCTGGTGACATAAAGTGTTAGGTCTCAGCACTATGAAGCAATTTGCAGCCACTGCAACCCCAGTTCAATCAACCCACATGTTGCAGCAGATCTCTCCTGCATTGCCCACTGCTCCCCTCAGCAGTGTATTTCAGTGAATCTGTCTGTTCTTCTCCCCACTTTGTCTCTAGTGAATCCTCTTACCCCATGTCCCTCTGGCCTACACTCCAGCTCTAGTATGCATAAATAGATAAATCTTTAAAAAAACAACCACCACCAAAAAAAAACCTAGTATAGTTAAACATAGATCTGTAGATCTGTTTCCCCATATCAAATTATTGACCAAATTAATAATTATCATATTATTGTCTGGATCATCTAAATCTCCATGAAATAAATGCTAAGACAAGTTAAGAATATAGTAAGTTTACTGAAAAGTAGTTACACCCCTGAATAAGATGAGAAGAAAAAGCTTTCATCTTGAGATATAGAAGTAAAACTTATAAAAATAAATGAACCTGTTGGGTTCTACAGCAAAGTTACTTTTTAGAGGAATAACCCTAGGGCAGAAATGACCTGGCAATGAAGGCCCCCATTGGTTAGAAGTGGTCCAGGCAGAGGGGATTAGAGACTTTCACTTCCATGGGTGCCGCAATCTCCTTTCACTCTCAAAACTGCCTTAGTTTAATAATCTTTGTCAAAACCACCATCACACTCATCATCTCAGGGAGAGCTACAAATTTGGGCCT